CTCCCTCTGGTAAGATTTGGTTACCTTGCTACATAAATAAAGGTCCAATTAGAATATCTAACTAGAACTTCTGGCAGATTGAAGAGCCCCTTGTGGACCTGGAAGAAACCAAAGCTCCTGATGTAACAGATTACAATGACTGGTCAACATTTGATGGTGAGTTTAAAGGTTCATTTAAATCAAATGTAAATTCTTATTACTTCTCATTTGATTAAATGTTTATGGGATTTTCTTTTGTCTATGTGTCACAGCCCGGGAACAAAGTGAAGCTTACCCAAGTCATTCCTACAACACCAGTCTTAGCCCTCCATCAAATGCAACAAATACAATTTCTGCCACAGTGCAGGAAGAAGTTGGAGCTGCTCGAAAAAATGGAGAACCGACTACTCAAGAGCATGTTGTAGTAAACTTTAATACAGCCAGTATTAATGACACCCTCACAATACATGCAGGTAATGGACTGTTACATGCTCCCTTTATTGTCACATGACCTGCTGTAATATTATAAAAATATGATATGTATATATATATTTTTATATAATGATATTTTGATATTGTTTTAGCTTCATCACCAAGAAAGGTTTATGACACACGAGACATTGGCCACAGCTCTGTCACGCAGATTGACTTTGATGACGACAAGTACAGACGGAGACCAGCTCTGAGCTGGTTTGCACAAGTTCTCAAGTTAGTAATGGATATGATGGATACGTAAAATGTCACCAGGTATTTCTGAACATAACTGTTAATTATTTTTGTCTATTTCTCTCTCAGGAACCGTACTGGAGGGAAACGTACAAGTCTGACGTGGAAGCAGAGGATGTTCATGTTTCTTTTGGTTGGAGTTTTGGGATTTTTCACTTTGATCATCATCATGGCTAAACTTGGACGGGCCTCAGCTGGTTCAGACCCAAATTTAGATCCTCTTCTTAACCCCAACATCCGTGTAGGGAAATACTGAAAACAAGCATTGATTACTTTACACAGCCAAGTTTGTGTAGACTGTTCCAGTTTGACTTTTAACCTAGTTGGTCCAACAGAGGGAGCTAATTAATCATATTGAATGGAAAGATATGTGGGACTTCTCCAGTATGGAAACAATGCTGCCTGACTGTGGTATAATACAAAAGCTTGAGACTTTATTTTTACTTGGATTACAGATTTAAAATGAGTGGTGGGTATTTATTTTTTGTTAATTCCAGCAAACAGAACTGATAGATGTTGGTGGACCAACACAACTGAAACAACTTTGTATATGTTTGACGAGTTACATTTTGACATTTATAATCTGAAGAGTGACACAATGAAGTGTGCATTTTTGGTGGCTTTCTGATGATTAATATACAAACTGAAGTTATGGAAATTGAGTGGAATTCTTTTAAATAGGCTACAAATGTAAATGTATTTTTTCTGCTGCATTTCTTCAACTGTACATTAAATTGCAAAAAATAATATCTGTGATTTAGTATTTTAACTATTTAGGATATAAAAATGTACAGTTATAGTAACTTTTCTTAGGGCTAAAACAAATTTATCAAATTTTAAGAATTTTTTTTTTAAGACATTTCAAAAATTTACAAGACTAACTTTTAATAATTGCCAAACAAACAAAAAAAAAAACTGTCAGTACTGGCAAATGGTACATATAAGTAGCACATCAGTTGAGGGTTGTTTTTTTTTTTTTTCAGGACCAATTAAACCCTTGCATTCTAAACACATAATAGTCATTATATACTGAACACGTGTCATTTTAATTATGTAACCTCACACTCTAGTCTGTGGGAATCACGGTAATACTGACGATCTTCCAGCGTCATGGGTCACCACTTGCATGTGACGGGCTGCCGTGCCATAGTCTACATTTCCACTGAACTTGCCAAAGTAGTTACAGATGACATTGGCTCTCTGGTGTTTCACATTGATGGAGGGAAATTAGCCCAAGGCAAAAGCAATCACACATTGTAAAATATGTGATTGTAGGCACATCTGTATGCTACAGAAAGACAAAACTAATAAGTTGTATGAGGATTATTTAAAGTGTTGTTTCACTTTGCATACATTATTTAGCTGTGTAATTGTTTTTGTCACTAAATTGGGATTCAATGTACCCATTGCCTGTGAGTTATTAGAATGACTATTGCTCTGACATAATAGGGGCACTTCAGTCAATAATGAGTGGCAGTTAACAGAAATTCACTGCAATACGGGTCCGCATTTCCTCATGATGACTTCAAAGCAGAGATAGACATGATAGACTGAACAGTTATGCATGTTATGTTCATTTTCATTTAGAAATGAATTATGATGGCTACAAACTTCATAAGGGAGTCAAATGGTTGCAATTTCTCTGGGTTTACAGAAAACACAATAGTTTGAAACATCTGTTATTTTGCCTACAGTCCTCTACATGTATGCTTAAACTATATCTCTCTTAAGGTTCAAACACAGATGGTTCCTTGTAGTTTGTACATTTTAAAAGTGCATATTGTAATTGAAAAAATCTAATATAATGCGAATGCTACTGTAATTGTTGTTGCCAGTGACATTGGATGATCTATTGAGCTGATATCAATAAGCGAGTTTCATTGGTGGTTTCCCAGTACAGTTTAAAAGGGAGACCATCGACACAGTCAGAGGTGTCTGCAACATAATACGAATGAACACCTCTCACATCAGCGACATCTTTTAAATGTAAGTATACTTAACTTAATAACTGCTGTCTTCAATTATTATCAGTATTTTGTTTTACACAGTGTTGTGAAGTAACAAAATATTTTGAGAATTTGTGTTCAGAATACTTCTCAGTACCTGTATCCTAATCTAATTACTCTTTCATTAGGTGGGATTCAAAATAGTTACAGTTTTACTACAGTCATAGAATCAAAAGAATACATTGCCATACTTGGCCATGCAATTTCGCTTCAAATTGCACTATTAGAAAACACTGCTCTTTTGGTGAGTGCATGTGAGATGATTCCTTCTCTAATTAGTGGTTCTTAATTGCAAAACAAACACAAAGCTGTCTTAACCCTGTGTCATCTTTGCACACTACAATACAAAGCAACTCAATATCTAAGTAATAACAATAAAGTAATCTGATTGGATCACGTAATGGAATACATAACAAAATATGCAGGTTTTCAGTATTCTTCTCGACACTGGTTGTACAAACAATGTGCAATGACCCTTTCTGATTCAATACTTTTCAGTTTACAGTGCACTCTGTGGCCCTGTCAGAGGAAGATGGAGAAACATTCCAAACCAACCCAGCATAATATGAAAATGAGCAAAAGTCAGAAGACTGAAAGATCTCCGCAAATGAAGAATCACAATCACAATCATTACCACAAACACTCAGAGGATAATGACAGCCATGAGTATGTGTTTTTCTTTTTTTTTTTGCAGAATGTTAATTATGCATGTCCTGTTTGTATGTTTTTACATGTGTTTTGTTTATGTTTTGTTTTATAGTACCCATTCAACCACAGAGGACAGTGTTTTTAATGACCCTCTCCATGACAGTCGGCATCACCACTCTCATTTTCACAAGCAAAAGCATCAAAGTTTTTCCACCTCAAGTACTTCCATAACATCATCTTCATCATCATTAACTTCTGCTACTTCCTCTTCTTCATCATTTTCATCATCGTCATCTTCTTCATCATCATCCTCATCTACAGCATCCTCTTCCTCGTCCAGCTCTTCATCTGACAATGACAGTGAAAGTTCAAATGCATGTGCCAAATCTCAGCATTCTCGCTCTTGCACGGATATCTCCAAGAAAAACAGATATTTTGAAGAATGTGATGATACTGCCCCACTGTTGGAGAGGGGTGAATATGTGGACATGAATAAAAAACAAGGCTCAACTCCTGGTTCTATCCAAGGCAAACCTAAAATTGTACAAGATGGAAGTGTCCGGAAAGCTAAGTCAATGGAGTCCCTTGCAAGACCAAAACAAAAGCCACAAGATAAAGCACAACAAGACAAAAGAAAAAACGAAGCCAGAAAAAACATAGTGAAGGAAAAAATTCAGTTCTCTGCGTTTCTTAATGAGATCACTCGGCAGGTGCTTAGCCCAATGAGACTCACAACCCTTGGAGTGACAAATGCAAAAAAACCTCACAGTTCTGGACAGGCTTCTGCTAGATCTACGAAGTCTGAAAATAGCAAGATAAGACTAAAGTTGCCAGGCAGTGCAGATTCAGCTAGCTCAGGCAAGCAGTCTCAAAGCAGCAGTAAGCATTCACACTCTCACCAAAGACACTATAGTCACCATTCAGTAGGGTCACCAGATCGCAAGACAAGAGACAGTTTTAAGAGGCATCATTCATGGTCGTATCGCCATCATTCCTGTTCACCATCAGAAAAGCACCATTACCACCGTCATCATCACCGTTATCGTAGTCCAAGTAATGAAAAAGATTGCCATAATTATCATAACTATAGACATCACCACAGTCCCACTTACTATCACAATGAGCACCAAAAAACTAGTCGGTACCACACAAACCGCCATCATCGCGACACATCTCAGCATTATAAAGACTATGGTACACCGGAGCATGGGCACAGTGTTTCCAAACATAAATCATGTGAGTATAGAGACACTTATCCAAGCCACAGCTGTCACTTAAAAGAATGTTCAAAATCACCCTCTCACAGCAGACACCACAGTGAAGCTAGAGATTACAGCAAAGGAAATGTTACCAAATATCACCATAAAGATCATCACAGGCCAGCTCTTACTCATTACAATGAGGAAGAGCTTTACCATGAAGAGTACCATCACACTCATGGCCATAACCGTAATCAATACCGTGAAAATCGGCCCCTGAGAGACCCTTACCATGGATCCCTGAGAAAACAACATAACAAACAACATGGGCCCGATCATGAGCAGCATCTTTTCCACCAAAATCACCATCACCTTGGAAACCATCATCGTGAGCCCCATCACCATGGAGATCGTCACACTGACCACCACCACCACCATCACCATGGAGACCATCACCGTGAGCCACATCACCATGGACACTGTCATACTGAGCACCATCACCATGGAGACAATCATAGTGAGCCCCGTCACCATGGCAACCGTCACACTGAGCCCCATCACCATCACCATGGAGACCGTCACATTAAGCTGCACCATCACCATGGAGACCTTCACAGTGAGCCCCATTACCATGGAGACCATCGCAGTGAGCCCCATCAGCATGGAGATCATCATGCTGAGCCCCGTCACCATGGAGCCCATCACAGTGAGCACCATCACCAAGGTGACCATAACAGTGAACCCCATCACCCTGGTGACCATCACATTGAGCAGCATCATCATGGAGACCATCACAGTGAACCCCATCACCATGGAGATGATCACAGTGAAGCCCATCACCATGGAGACCATCACAGTGAACACCATCACAATGAATCCCATCATCATCACCATGGAGACAATCACAATGAGCCACAT